TAGCATTAAGACAATAATTATACTAATATTAATAATGATGGAAGAACACTTTTAATAAAGAGAAAGAAATATATTTTCTCTTCAAATATACTATTTAAATTAATTTCCTGATTCGACTTTGAAGAGGCGTGTGGCAGTCGTCGTTGAGTTATTACCGAAACCATTGCTTTCAGAAATCGCCAGGAAAACCTGGGTTTAATTCTAATCCTGCAACAAACGTCCCCAATTTTCAACAGAACACCGAACTAGACGTCGCGGATGGATCTTACAAGAACCGACAAGAAATAATTCTCCATGATGAAGATCATTTCGACTTCTCGCCGGTACGAACCACGCAACTTTGCTAACGTTTACCTGACGAGAGGGACAGCGATAAGGCCCCTTAGCTAAGCTAGCGATCGCGTCCAAGAACGTGGAAAAAACGCGGTGTTTTTACAACGTAGTTAATTAATTAATTTAACGAATATTTAATTCCAACACGAAATTCATAAATATCAATCAAATCAAAATCAAATCATGAAATTTGGAACAATTAAAGCAAAGCTTTTATTGATATATGATAATAGATGGATGGGCTATGAAAAATTAGAATAAAATCGGCGCAACATAAAAATAAGTTACTATTAAGTAATAAGTAATTAATAAGTTACTATTTCATATAATTAATAAAATTATTAGCGCCTTCTTTATCAAACAAATTAAATAATCTATCAATTGAAAAAAATATTTTATATTCTTTTCAAATTTTTCTTTTAATTTATAGTTTAAATTAGATCTGTAATATGTTTTAATGTATATTTAAAAAAATCTATTGAAAGTTATTTGATTTAATCTATTCTAGCCCATCCATTTTGAGGCAACGAATCTATTTACAATCTACAATCTACAGTTGCATCTACGATATCTACAGATCCGTTAACTCAAAATTAAATAAAATTCATCACTCACTGGCACTGATGCGCAACAGCGGAGTTGTTGGGCTTGAGGCTACGTTGTCTGTAACATACAAATATAAAATTCAAATTATAGCAGCGTTCAAAATATAATTAATATTTCATGCGGAATATTTTATATCCGATGCGTACAATACTAAGAAGCTCTATATAAATATGAAACAATTTTATAAATTATAAAAAATCTATTCTAGCCCATCCATTTCGAGGCAACGGATCTATTTATCTACAAATCTACAATCTACAGTTGCATCTACGATATCTACCACACACACACACACACACACACACACACACACACACACACATTACATTAAATATTTTATATATTTCTTATATTCAAATTTATAACTTCTTAGATATCAACAATTAATACATCTTTGACAATAGGCACGATGACAGCAACGACGACGCTGATTGTTGGTCCGTCCGTCACCCAAATCTCCTTCTCCTCTCTTGTTCATCTCTTTATGTCCTCGTGGCACTCACACTCACTCGCAAAAGCACGATTAATTATATATAATTAGCCGTATACGATCGCGACTCGCGAGACACTTTGCACGGCACTCCCGACGTCTCCCGATCGCGGAATAATCACATGAGATATTCAGTTTATTATACCGTAAGACAGAGTAACACACGAGAAGTACGATTGTAGCGAATTATATTTTAATACTTGTCGCGATCGCGTTTAGGAAAAGAATTGACGGAGTATCTCCCCCACTATTACAATTCTGTTCAATAGTCGCCGAAAGATAACAAGGCCGTAATACGTAAACAATAGCGTGCTAATGTTTACGCCGCCAAGGCTGAATACCATATTATTGATAATTCGCGGCCGAAAATATTTTACGTGCTATGACGTACATACAAGCGGAATATTAAATTATACAAATATTTTAAATTATAGATAATTTATTTAATAAACGTTTAATATATCACGGAGCTTATCGTTATATTAATTACTTGGACCTGCGATTCGACTATTTTATTGCGCGTTTTCAATCCGAATCATGTTTAGATCGTCGAAAAGTCGAACAATAAAGCGGACGAAATATATTTAATTTTAAATATTTTTAAAGAAATAATTGTTGTCTAGAGGAGAGGGGGAGAGAGAGAGAGAGAATTAATTATTAATTATATCAAATTATTTCCCGATATTTGTCGCGATCGCGTTTAGAAAAGAAATTTGACAGAGCATTTCAAACTACTCTATCTACTGTTCAAGTGTTGCCGTACGATGGATAAGAAATAAGAAGTGGGAGTGGGAAAGGAATTCGGCGGAGCGTTTCGTCCACTACAACAATACTATTCAAGTGTTGCCGTACGAATAATAACAAGGCCGTAACACGTAAACAATAGCGCGCTATAGTTTACGTCGGCAAGACCGCACACCATTTTATTGATAATTTGGAGCTAAAATTATTTTGCGTATAACGTATATACAAGCGGAATATTAAATTTATTGATAATTCGTTGTCGTAATGTTTTACGTATTATATATATCATATGTATACGCGAAATATTAATGTATAAAAGTACTTTGAATTGTAGATCAATTATATTTATTAAATGATTGAAGCCTTTCTCGTAATGCTAATTATTACTTATTCGATCCTGCGATGCGATTGTTTAATTGCGAGTTTTCAATCTAAATTATATTTAAATAATCAAAAAGTCGTACGATAAAGCATAGGACAAAATATCTTTATTTTAACAATAAATATCGACTGAAAAATAATTATTGTTCGTAAGGATCACAACAAAACGATAATTTTTATAATTTAAATTTTTGTCACTTCGATTCTTATTTTGAGAGAGATTCTTACTTGTATCGATTTGAGAATAATTTTAATGGATTAATGAGATTTTTGCGATTAAAATGACATCAAACATATACAACATAAATCGGATAATTTTTAACTATATTAATAATAAAAATTTTGATTACATATATATTTAACTAAAAATTATTCGGTAAGTTTTACTTAGATAAGGAAAAAAATATTTTATCTAATGACGTCTCTCAGGCTTCTCTAAAGCCCGTATCAGACTACGTATTGAAGATTGCAATTTGACCAATCAGGATAAAAGGAACTAAAATTTCCTTGTCCTGATTGGTCAAATTTCAATCTCAATGCATAGTCTGATATGGGCTTAATGGCCCTCGCATACTGGACGCGATGAGCGATGAGCAATGGGCGATATCCAATAAGAGCTCTGCTTTTCCGAAAAAGCGAGGGCCATAATAGAGAATTGCTAAATTCACATGAAAATTTCTTAGGTTTCAAGAAATCCTCTATGAATAGCCAATCAGCAGTCGTCATATTTTTACTTTTCCAGTTCGACATCTCTAGTTTTGTCTTTATATATAGAGTATCAATTCTATATAGTTTTATGTTCCGTGGTTAGTACACGTCATTGGTCATTGGTTAGCGCAGATGATACCAGATGATACAATCGTGCGAAAATTTTTGGATTATTGACAAATATTAATTAAAATTTCGGCTGTGCAGACAATATGGAAACGTTGTATCATCAGACTAATAAATTAATACAGGAAACCCAGCATCTTTTCTCGCAACTGGAAAGAAAATCGTCCAATGCAGATCTGCAGGAAGTGAAGGAGTCTATAGCAAGCAAACTCAATCTTATCAACAGGTAATCAGAATCGAAACAATGTATTCATTGTTGTTTTTTTTTTTTGTGTGTAATATTATTCCCCCATGAAAAAATAAATTAATTTATATTTTTTTCTTAGTAATTGCGAGCGACTTGATGTGCTATGTCTCAAGGGACCTGTGTCGCAAAGACAGAATGCCAGAATGAGAGTTGATCAGTTGAAATACGACAGCCGTCATCTCGCCGCTGCCTTAAATTCATTGTGCACCCATATGACACGGCAACAAAAAGAAAAGGCAGAAAGAGAGGCCTTGCTGGCCAGAAAGTTTACCAGCAACGATCATGTAGATATTTTAATTGATCACACTCTACAACATAGTAATAGTATGCATAATGCCATTCATGGTATAGATGATCTGTTACACCAGGGAAGTAGTGTCTTAGATAATTTAAAATCTCAGAGAGTAACGTTAAAAGGAGCTCACAAACGTTTGATAGATGTTGGTAATATTTTAGGTCTTTCTAATACTACTATGAGGCTCATAGAACAAAGAGCCAAACAAGATGGATTTATTTTAGTTGCTGGTATGACTTTCACATGTATAGTCATCATCTTAGTGATAGTATATCTCACTTAGATACATTCCAAAGAGTATTAAATAATATATATA